GTTAAAAGCCCTGAGTGGAACTTTGCAGTTTCAAATCCAATTCTGCAAAGGATATTGACCCTGCCCCTATGTCTGGTGCATTGTTCAGTTTCCTTCTCTACTTTTCTTCTTCTTCAGCAAATGTCATTATCATCTTCATGTCCATCATCATTACCATCATCATCATCATCCTCTGTAAAATAGCTTTATGATTAAAACAACTGATTTATAAAAATTAAAAGATTTTTTTTTTTAAATTCTGCCTATTTTAGGAACAATTAAGCAGTGGAACAGCTTGCAGTCAGAAGCTGTAGGTGCTTCATCACTGGATGTTCTTAAGAAGAGACTAAACAGTTCGTTGTCTGAAATGGTATTGGGTCTCCTGCTTGAGCAGATGGTTGGATTAGAAGACCTTCATTGTCCCTTCCAGCTCTATTCTGATTGATTGAGTGATTGAGTGAGTGATTGATGAAGACAGCTAATTTTTCATTTAATTTGGGCTATGATGCAAAAGGAGTTTTGCAGCCCAGTTCATCTTTCAGAATGAGTTTCATTATAATTCCCATCATCTTCGTCAGTTGCAACTATTGAGCATGCTTTATTGAATGATAAATATTATATTCACAACCCAATATCAGAGTAGATGGTTGGAGAAGATGTGCTTGACTTAGTGTGCAAGAGAACAACTGCTAGGATAACAACGCAAAAATGAATTCTCCTCCATGATGGAATGATCATATATGAATCCTCAGTGAATTCAACTGAAATGCTGATATTATTACTGCAGTATCTACAGAATTAGTCTTAACATGACCAATACAATAGCCAAATTTTTTGAGACTGCATTAAAAATGAAGGAAATCAACCCTGACTGATACTGGAGCTAAAGCTCAAATATTTTGGCTGCCAAATGAGGGGGAAAAAAGACTCATTGAAAAAGACCCTTATGTTGAAAAGATTGAAGGCAAAAGAAGAAGGGGATGGCAGAGGATGAGATGGTTAATTAGTGTCATCAATGCAATAAACATGAATTTGGACAAACATTGGAAGACAGTGGGGCTGGTATGCTATAGTTCATGGGGTCATGAAGAGTCAGAGACGACTTAGCAACTGAACAACAATAACAAGTGAAAATGAGGAAACTACAAATACAAATGTGATATATCTGTCAGTTGGAGATGGATCACTAATCTTATTTATTTTATTTTATTTTATTTTATTTTTCTTTAATTATTTTAGTATGTTGATATTTGATCACAATTGGTTTGATCCTACTATTAATTTTATTATATACAAAGTAAATATATGCATTTATTTTTCTTCCAGTGAGTTCAGGTAAGTGTCTACTATGCAGAATAGAATAGAATAGAATAGAGCTGGAAGGGACCTTGGAGGGACATTCTTCGTATGTTTTAATCTCCAGGCCTTTGATCATCTTAGTTCCTTTTCTCTGATTTTTTTCCCAAACTCTCAACATCTTTTTTGTGATATAGTGACCAAAATTGGCTGCACTTTTCCAGGTATGGTCTTACTAGGGTTTTATAAAGCGGTATTAATACTTCATGTGATCTTGATTCTATGCCTCTGTTTATACAACTGAAGAGTGTATTAGCTTTTTTGGCTGCTGCTGCACACTGCTGGCTCATGATCAAGTGATTATCCACTAAGACTCCAAGGTCCCTTTCACAGTTACTGTTTTTAAACCAGGTGTCACCCAGTCTTTGATTTTTCCTGCCTAAATGTAAAACTTCTCCACATTGAAACTCATTTTGTTGTATAGGGCCCATTGTTCAAGTTTGTCAAGATCTTTTTGGATCCTGAGTTTGTCTTCTGGGGTGTTCTCAGTTTGGTGCCATCTGCAAATTTGATGAGTCCCCCTTCAATTCTCTCATCCAAGTCATTTATAAAGATATTTGAAGAGTACTGGGCCTAAGACGGAACCTTGTCATGCCCCACTGCTTACTTCTCTCCATGTGGATATTGTGCCATTGAGAACTACTTGTTGAGTACAGTTTGCCAGCCAGCTACATATCCATTTTCTGGTAATGTTGTCTATTCCACCTTTTTCTACCTTACCAAGGAGTAGGTTGTGGTCTATTTTATCAAATGCCTTACTGAAATTTAATTTAAGTATACTATGTCCATAGCATTTCGCTGGTCTATTAGTTTAATCACTTTATCAAATAATGAAATAAGATTGGTTTGGCATGATCTGTTTTTAACAAACCCATGCTGGCTACTAATGATAACTTTGTTTGCTTCTAGTTGTTTGCAGATCTGTTTTTGATTACCTTTTTTAGGATCTTCCCATGTATTGATGTTAAACTGATTGGTCTGTAGTTTCCTGTGTCCGTTTTTTTTTTTCCTTTCTTGAAGATGGGAACCAAATCAGCCCTTTTCCACTCCTTGGGTACTTCCCCAGTACTCCAGGATTTATGAAAGATGTGATGTAATGGTTCTGAGATAACTTCTGCCAGCTTTTTCAGAACTGTGGGCCTGGGGGAAATTACAGTTATCATTACTAGGTAGGATTGCGTTGATTAAAATGAATATATTACCAAGACTATTATATTTATTCCAAATAGTCCCGATACAATTAGAGAAAACTTTTTTCGAAGAATTGGACAAAATAATAAATAAATTTATTTGGTTGGGCAAAAAAACACGAATAAACATGAAAATGTTACAAGATAGTAGAAGTAGAGGTGGACTTGGGCTCCCAAAATGGGAAATTTATTACCAAGCAGCTGGACTACTCTGGATTAAGGATTGGATAAACCTAGACAATAAAAGGATTTTAATGATTGAAGGGCATGATCTGCAAGCAGGCTGGCATGCCTTCCTATGGGGAAAACATAAGAAAACACACACATATTTTTATCAACATCAGATAAGAGATGTGCTGATTCAGACGTGGGAAAAAGTAAAAAAAAGACACTATAGGAAAATCCCAAATTGGATTTCACCGATGAAGGCAATGATCCACCCTAACACCTTGGATAAAAAAAAGATGATTAGATACAAAGAATTACTAGATAACCAAGGAAACCTCAAATCAAGAGAAGAATTAGAAGAACAGGGAATAATTATAGATTGGTGGCCATACTTAAGATCCAATCTAAACATAGTAAGGATATGGAAGAGCACGGAATAAACCAGACCCCACACCAATTGGATAAAATTTTAACAGGTAAGGAAGGAAATTTTTTAACAAAAACTTATAAATAGTAAGTATTAAGTAAGGATTAAGTCCAGTATAGCTTTACGCCTAGTTCCCTCCTCCACCTTTTGGGTGACAAAGTTGTTGGCTAGGTTGGTTAGGAATCTGTTTGATCTCCCATTTGCTGCAGAGTTTGTCTCCCAGTTGATATCTGGATAGTTGAAGTCTCCTATTACTACTGTGGTATGCTTCCTACATACATTTGTTAACTGGTTGGCAAAGAGTTCATCTATTTCTTCTGATTGGTTGGGTGGCCTGTAAAATACACCTATGGCAATGTCACTTTTTTTCTTTTATATTGACCCATATGCATTCTGGAGAGATTTTATCTTTGAGCATGTGCATTTTGGTAGATATGTAGTGTTCTCTTACATATAGTGCAACTCCCCCTCCTCTTTTTGTAAACCTGTTTCTTTTTAACAATTTGTATCCATCCATCAGTCCATTCCATTCATGAGTTTCATCCCACCAGGTTTCTGTAATGCCTACTATGTCGTACCCTCCCTTGCTTCTAGTTTTCCCATTATTATTCACTTATAATTCACCCATACATTATTCCACAACTCCTAGCTATACCTGAAATGGTGCAGGGTCTTCTGCTTGAGCATGGGGTTGGACTAGAAGACCTCCAAGGTCCCTTCCAGCCCTATTCTGATTGATTGATTACTCCTTATTTCACTAGCATAACCAACTTACCAAATAGTTTATGCTGAAATTTATAAATTCATGTTACCACTGAGCATTGTACCTGAGCAGGGAATTGGAATTAAGTTCACAGTTCAACAATATACCTAAAGTCCTTTAGAGAAATTGAACTACACCAGGGATGTCATAAAGGGTCCTCCAGGGATACTGACACAGAACTGAAAAACTCTATACCTGTAATTCTTTAAACATCTACCTTCCTTATCTGCAAAATGTATAACATGCAAAAGATTTCTGCTTCTGCATTACACTATTCATGTCTTTATGGAATTCCTTACAGAAGTGAAAACAGATTTCATTATCTTAAGAAAGCATTCTTGTTGTAGCTGATTTGCTCTGTAAACTTTTCATGTGATTTTTCATCAATTATCTTATATAGTCAAATGTTACAGAACCAGATATCCAACAGCCAAACTTTGTTTCCATGCTTGTCTGCAGTTTATCTAGATGCATCAGGCAAAACAAACCTTTAAATCTTTTTTGATATTTTATTTTTACTGCCCTCTGGACGTTACAGCTTTTATGCACATCTGATTCTATTTTATTTTATTTTATTTATTGAGCATATGTGTATGTATATGATCAACATGATGCAGTTCTCCAAGGAAGAAACTCCAAACATCTCAATCTAAAGGATATGGATGAAACTTCTTCCACTTCTTTTGCATTTCCACTAACAATTAAATTTGATTAAGGTCAGTCAGCTTGATTAAGGTCAGTCTGACATTATGTTATGCTTGTTAAGTCCATCTACTACAGTTTACTACTATAGTTAAATATATCTACTAAAGTTACATCTGAACTTTATACCTTGGAATAAACAGAAAAAGACACCTGAACTTCTTTGAATTATATTACGATAATCTTTTACTGCAAACTTTCTTAATAACAGTTTTTCTGAAGAAATTTTTTTTCTGTAAAATTTAGTAACAATTTTCTTTTCCCTTCCTTTCTAGAAATCACAATATATCCTTCTGCCTAAATAATGTCCAATGAAAGCATGGTAACATATTTTGTATTTGTTGGTTTCTTTGATGTTCCAGAGTGGCAGAATTTCTATGCTTTGATATTTTTTCTAATTTATATTTCATGTGTGATGGGGAATCTACTTATCATGATCATAGTAATTCTCAATATTCACCTTCATACCCCAATGTATTTTTTTGTCCTAAATCTATCAGTTATTGACCTGGGATATATCACAGTCACCATCCCCAAAGTCATAGCCAATTCCTTAATGAGAACAAGGATAATCCTCTATTCTCACTGTGCTGCCCAAATGTTCGCCTTTGTTCTCTTTGCAGCATCTGAATTCCTTCTACTGACAGTTATGGCCTATGATCGTTATGTTGCTATTTGCCATCCACTTCAATATGAAACTTTAATGGACACACACAGATGTATCCAAATGGCAAGCTGTGCATGGATGGTTGGCATTCTAACAGCAACACTGCACACTGGTGCCACATTTGCAAGCACCTTTTGCTCCAATGTGATCAACCAGTTCTTTTGTGAAATCCCACAATTGCTCAGGCTCTCTTGCTCTGATATGTATCTCATTGAAATTGGGGCTATTGTTCTCACTGGCAGCTTATATTTAGCCTGTTTTGTTTTCATTGTTAATTCTTATGGACAGATCTTCAAAGCCATAGTAAGAATTCTCTCTGTACAAGGTAGGCAGAAGGCCTTCTCTACCTGTTTGCCTCACCTCATTGTGGTTTCCATGTTCTTCTTCTTTGGCATCTTTGCTTACTTACGGCCAATCAACAGGACTCCATCCCAGATGGATTTAGTGGCTGCTATAGCCTACTGTGTGGTGCCACCATGCATGAATCCAGTGATGTATAGCATGAGGAATACAGATATCAAGCAGGGACTGTGCAAACTCATTGCCTGGAGATAATGGGACATTTTTAAAGAGTTTGTTTAAATGCAGATAGCATGTGCATAGTTATGTATATATTTAAAGGGTAAAAGAAACATCCCAATATTGTTTCAGTAAGAGTGTAATCCATTTAAGGCAATGAAATGTGTTAGATGAAAATCTGCAAGGAGTTCAGTTCTGTATTAGAATTGTATTAATGAAACTCTGTAAATAAGTGTTCTAATATAATGAGAGTCTTCTTGAGAACTGTATAGCCTGTATATGATTCTACAATATATGAATTTTTTTGATGACCTTGTTCACATATAGTTTTGATAGTTTTATGTGATGTTTATAATTATTCTTCCTTTTTCACAATTAAAAAAACACTAAACCTATCTGAACTTATGTGTCAGTTTTGCTTTGACATTTGAAAATGAATGTTGCTATGTTCTTAATATAAACAAAGAAATTGAATGTTTTTGGCATATTCAGACATGCCAGAGGTAAATCTTCAAAGTCTGTCTAGTGCATTCATACTGTGTTAGGCTCCACTATGAAATATTAAAAATTGAATTAATTTGAACTGTCTCTCTAAAAGATTAATTTAAAATAGAGATGCTAAAGTGTTGTTTTTTGTTAATAACCAAACAAAAAAGAAACTTAAAATGCTGTTTTTAATTATGAGAAAAGAGGAAATGTGAGTCTCAACCTAGTATATAAGCACACAAAACCATATATATATATATATATATATATATATATATATATATATATATATATATATATATATATATATATATATATATATATATATATATATATATATATATATATAGTGACAGCAGGGCACTTGGAGCCAACATGGACAGGGACGATGACAGCAAGAAGGAATAGCCAGCTGAAACGGCAGCATTGCATATGCAAACACCAGAAAAGCATTGAGATGACTGCGCACGGCAGAATACACATTCCACACGGGCGGGGTGTGAGGAGAGGAGCAGGGTGCCTAAATTTAAACAGCCATCAACAAGTGTGATGGAAACAAAACAGCAATTAACTACAGGGGGCGGGAGCTGAATAGATACACACACACACATACATACACACATACACACATACACATTCTAAGAGGGTGATAAAGGAAAGAAAATAATTAATGAATTGTGCTAAATGTATTAGGTTTCAAGCCATTTAAATGATAGTAATTATAATGCCCCTCCAGTGAACATGGGAAAGACAATCCAATTTTATGGAATCTTCCCCCCAAAATTACAGTAAGTTGCATTTCCTAATTCAAATTAATTGTGAAACTTAAACAAACAAACAATATTATAATGGTGGGAATAAATGCATGTTATGAGGCTCAAAATATTGCTAGAACTCCTCTATCTGTTAGAACTAGGCCTGGACTTAGAATTCAGACTGTTTGAACAACTTCATCAAGCCTGCCATTAATGTCTTTTAATTCTTCCCTCAATTCTCATTTCAAGGTCTCATGGAGAATAATGTAAAGATTAACCCGAATCTAACCCTAATAAGATAACCCACTGATTGGGAAGAATACCAACATAATTAGTTCCACATTTTTGTTTTCAAAAAGAAGTTAAGGTACCAGACTAGAAATTAGGAGACTGTGAGTTTTAGTTCCATCTTAGGCATGAAAGCTGGCTGGGTGACTTTGAGCTAGTCATTCTCTCTCAGTCCACAATGTCAGGCTCAGGTGACAACTATTGGTCAGTTTCTGTTACAACCAATGGAGCAACAGTTAGCTGAGCACAAAAAAGTGGATCCTGCACTTTCAGTTAAACACTAGGAACAAAAAGAAGAGAGTTTCACCAATTAAGTAATAAATAAATAAACTTTTAAATGATAATAAATAAATAAATTTCTTAATTAAAAATATTATTTTAATACAATTCATTGCTAACAGTGGGGCCCAGTTCTTATTAAACTACAGTTTTCAACATTTTTCATCATTTTTAGATCATTTTCCTTCATGTATATCTGTGTATGTATGCACACCCAATCACACACACATGCATGAGCACAGACACACCTGTATGACATTTCAATAATGTTAAAAAAAAATTAAAAAAAATTCCTGTTTTCCCCCTTTTTAAAGTGACTTTGAAAAACTCCAAGAAGCAAAAATTATTGTTTATCTCCTGAACTCTTTCTCTATTATATTTACAATTCAAGAACTTTTCATGAAATACCAGAGACAAGACAGAGGCTGCAGAAGCATCTTGATCTACTGATGTGTGAATTAGAACCTATTATAATAGTTTGAAGATTCTAAATTGTGAGGAAAATCTATATTAGTTCATATTTAAACCTATGAAGGGCAGTAACATTTAAAATAAAAACAACAATCCACAGAATGATTTGTTTAATCGTGTCATAACTTTAAATCATATGAGGAATATAAATAAGATCATAACTTTCACAGATCCTATCTGTAGTATATAGTTATGATCTTATTTATATGGGTGTGTCTATCTGTTTCTATATATCTATACACAGAGCTTTTATTTTTCTCATAGAACACCCAGAATGGAATTTCGGCACCTTTTTTGGATGGAATCTTGTAGGGTAGGCAAGGCGGGTTATATGAAAAAAAGCACTGTCTATATAGGTACTTCTCACTTAACAACCACTCATTCAGTGATTGTTTGAAGCTACAATGATGCTGAATTAATGGTAGTTACACCTGGCCCCCAGATTTAAAACCCTTGCAGCATGCCCATGACCACAAGATCATGCTTTGGGTCTTTAGCTAGCAGGATGCATTCCTGATTGTCATAGCATTCTGAAGTCATATGATTGCCATTTTTGTCTTTCTTCCTACAAGCAAAGTCAATGGGGGAACCAGCAGGAAAGTGAAAACAGCAATCATGTGAAATCCTTGCTTAATGACCTGTCCCATCCTTGCTTAAGGACTGCAACTAAAAATGCTGCAAATGATGTGGTAAAGTAGCATGGTCACATGACATCACATTCAACAACCATGCCACTTAATAATGGAGGTCCTGATCCCAATTAGGGATGCTAAGTAAGGACTAACTGTATCCGTATCATCTATTTACATTTATATGTGTATATGTATATATGTATGTATGTGTATATGTATAGCTATATATCACCTATATCTATGTATCTATAGCTATATATCTATAACATCTGTATCTATCTATCTATCTATCTATCTATCTATCTATCTATCTATCTATCTATTATCTGTATTTCCCATCACCAAGAAATAACGATTACACATTCTCTCTGACATTACTTAAAATTTGCCAACTATCTCCAGATTCTTCGCCAAAGTGAACACTTCAAAAATTTAACACATTACTTGCATGATATTTCATTATACAGACATTATTAGAAGTCATATGGTATATAAAGAATCTATGTCAGTGATAAAATAATTGGAATTAAATGGATATTTGTTAGTTGAGAAAAAAAAACATTTTGAGCTAATCTACATTTTATCAATTGAAAGTATTACATTTCTTTTTTTAAGTATGATTTTCATCATTATACATTTCAGCGTTCTCAGATTAACTGACAGAAAAGAAAAAATAATAATTTTGCTCCTGGGACCACAAATGTTTAATGAAGATAGTTAGTATCGTTAATATTAATTGGACAACATGATAATCCCAAGAATATTATTTTCTCTGACTTATCTGTACAAACAAATAAGCTAAAGTAGTATGATTCTATTAAGTTTAGTATAATGCTATGATGGACATTAAAAAGTAAATCTCATTAGATAAGAAGTTACTTTTATGTTAAAGTTCAGTGAACTTTAACATAAATTGACTGTCTCATTTAATGAGACTTATTTATTAAACTTTTCAGAGCTTAATTAGAGACCAGACAATCTTTCAAGCTTGAAGAACAACTTGGAAACAAATAATTATTGTGATTTTTTTTCCCTCAGAGATTAATTAAAACAACTTATAGATAGTAAGGAGCTTCTGTCCTTCAGTTTTGTGTATGTGAGAGAAATGAATAAAAATTAACACTTAAAAATGCTGCCTGTTAATTTGATGAAGAAAAAAAAGAACTTTAACACATATATAACTATGGACACACACAGACACACACACACCTCATTATTTATTTATTTAGATAGCTAAATAAAATTTATTTATTTATTTAGATAAGATTGACAATGTAGAAATCTGATAGCTAGCTAGTTATCTAACAGATTTCTACACTGCCAATCTTATCTAAGTGACTCTAGCAGTTTATAATAAAAACATATAGCAATATTAAAAAGCATAGTTAAAAATAGATAAAAGCAGAATTAAAAACAAGATTAAAATGAAAATGGTAAAAATGTAAAACAGGCAGAGAGAGTGCTATTCCTAGAATGGCTTATTACTCTTAGGGAGATGGGAGACTGGACAAAAGTTATCCAAAATGGAAGACTCCAGTGATGACTTCTTAAGAAGAAGGTGCACCATTGCTTCTTTAAATTGTGCCAGGAACATGTCTCTTTCAAGGGTAAATTAGCTTTTACCAGGACCCACCTAAATATCCCTACTGGGTATCCTTGACCAATCAGGAGAGTCATGGATCTAAATCACAGATGGACATGCTTACAGCAACAAAGATCCTTTCTACTTCCTTAGGTCCAAAAGGATATTCCCAGATAACTGGGTACGTTCATTCCATAGTCATGATAGGCCAAGAGAGGTTAAGATGCCCAGAGGACTTAATAATAATAATAATAATAATAATAATAATAATAATAATAATAATAGTAATAAAAAAAGTTGGAAGGGACCTTGGAGGTCATCTAGTCCAACCCCCTGCTCAGGCAGGAAACCCTATACCATTTCAGACAAATGGCTGTCCAGTCTCTTCTTAAAAACTTCCAGTGTTGGAGCATTCATCACTTCTGGAGGCAGGTTGTTCCACTGGTTAATTGTTCTAACTGTCAGGAAGTTTCTCCTTAGTTCTAGGTTGCTTCTCTCCTTGATTAGTTTCCATCTGTTGCTTCTTGTCCTGCCCTCAGGTGC